ATCTGGTCTGTGGTCTTCTCTCTTTCTTCTCCCCTCTACCTTTCCTCAGTCAAAGATTATTACTTTTTCTATTATTATTATTATTATTGTTTTTCCTAGGGACCCCTGCCTTCTCCAGGGAAGAACTGAGAGAACATTTGCACGGTTGGGGGAGGAACTTTACCTAATAACTGTATAATTTGCATTTTTACATTGTATATTTTAACTGTAATTGTCTTTATACTGTTTTTGTTATTTTGTTTTTGGGCGGGTGGGTGGGGGTGGGATGGAGGGATGGGTTTTTTTTCTTAACAGTTACATAATTTGTATTTTATATTGTATAATTTAATTAATTGTTTTTTAATTTGCTTGTAAACGAGATCTTATGTTGTTATTGTTTGTTGTGTGGGGAGGAGGGAATGCTTTGTTTAATTTGCTGGAATTACTGTATTATTGTTGTTTAATTTTGTTGTAATGTATTAATATATTTTGTTGTTCACCGCCTCGATTGGCTAGCCAGAGGGGCGGTATATAAATAAATCGTATTATTATTATTATTATTATTATTATTATTATTATTATTATTATTATTATTATTATTCTCATGAGACTAGTTGGAAGGAGGCAAGGTCAGTGCTGCAGCGCATGGAGATCAGGATCTGCTCTAAGCTCAGAGGAGAAGCCTTGAGGCTGCTGCCACATGCAGAATTAATGCAGTTTGACAGCACTTTAATTGTCAGGGCTCCATCCTATGGAATCCTGGGATTTGTAGTTTGTTGTGGCACTAGGGCTCTCTTGGCAGAGAAAGAAAGATATCTCCAGAATTCCATAGTATGCAGCCATGGTGGTTAAAGTGGTGTCAGCCTGAGTATTTGTTATTGTATTTAATACACGCACCATGAAATAAATAATATTTTATTTCTTTCTCATTGTAGGATCCGAATCATCCTCTCACAGGCCATTTGTATGTCCCAACACCCAACTTGGGAACATCCTGAACACAAGCCCATGGGTGCAATTCAATGTGACAACAACCCTTGTCATATCCAACAATTATTATTATTATTATTATTATTATTATTATTATTATTATTATTAATTTCTTGGCAACTCTTTGCCACCCATCCTCCTTCGGCCCTTTGTTTTCCATTTCTGAGATAGTCACAGCTTTGAGTTAAGCCAGAAAGCTTTGAGTTTCCAGCCGGTCCATGGATATTTGGTATGTGTCTCTCTGTGTAATGGTTTTAATGGTTTCATTATTTAATTTGTTTTGTTCCTAATGATGTTTGTTAGCTGTTACAAGCACTGCTGCAGAGGTCATTCTCTTTAATGGAAAGCCAGGATCAAAATACAGTAATAAAACCCAATGATGGAAGAAGATTCCTGCAGAAACAGGCAATGGGAAGGTCCATCTCTTGCCCAACATCTCTGCAAAGGAGGTGCCTCCAGGAAATCCACAAGCATAACAACAACAACAACAGCCCTTCCCCGTGATTTGATGCTCTCCCAAACTGGTTTTCAGAGACAGACGGCTTTTGAACCTTGGTATTTTTGCACAGAGCCATTGTGACCATGGACAGATAGACACCAGAGGAAGCCAAGAGCAAACTGGCCAAACAATTTCCTATGAGCCAAGTTTCTGCCCTGAAGCATGCGCTGCCTTTCTGCGCATGGGCAGAATGTATTCTTTTACCCCTGAAAAAGCACAGCCCATTTAAATACATCCAGAATTAAGGATGGTTTCATTAGTATTGTAATTATTTATATCCCTTTCCTTCATCATCAAACACAGCATTTGTTGTTGTGTGCCTTCAAGTCGTTTCTGACTTATGGAGACCCTAGGATGAACCTATCAAGGGTTTTTTTTGGCAAGTTTCTTCAGAGGTTTTTTTTGCCATTGCCGTCCTCTGAGGCTGAGAGAGTGTGACTTGCCTCAAGGTCACCCAGTGGGCTACGTGACCGAGCTGGGATTTGAACTCTGGTTTCCGGACACTCAAACCATCTCAGGAGGATTCCCAGGAGATTTCCAAGCCAGGCTCTATCCAGAGCTTGTACTCTTGGGGAAAAAAGCTAATTTATACATTCTCCAAGGTTGCCATTGGGATTCATGAAAGTAAGACACGGACGACACCAGGAACAAACACATGCCCTGAGCCTGGGAAGATAGCCTCTCTTCCATATTTTCAATCGACTCCATTTAGCTGGCCCTGAATACTCAAGATTTTGGTGGTTCAACGGAAAAGAAGTGAGACCGCACTTCATTTCAGGAATAAACCTTGGCTGTTAGCTATGTGTGCATACATACACACATACATATATATACATATATACATACACACACACTTACATTTTGCTCAACAACCATCCCTCTGCATCTTTGATAGCTAATGTCCGTGGAAGCTGAGATACGTCGTTCCTGGCACAGGATGAATG